TAAACTTTGCCGATGACCTATTCCAGGACTTACAATCATTACCATTGAGGAGAATTCTTTTTCTGCTGCAGTTTAAATTCAATCATGGCCTCTGTGGATATAAAGACTAAAAGCGATCATTATCTCTGACACAGGAGCCCTTCAAATAGTTGATGATAATTAAGTAGTTATCAAAAAATGTATCAAGACCCCATAACAATACTCTTAAAAATTATCGGGGACCCTAGTGAATTATTATTTATGTGGATCATATTTATTTGCACTGTATTTAGCATTTTAGTAACCAACCCAAGAAATTTAAAAACATACGCACTTATTTTATAATAAACTCATGACATTTTAACATAATGAACATATTTTATTTAAGAAAATTATATTTTATAAAACAAGAGAAATTTAATGAGAAGAGTGGCATTGTTTCACATTTTTGCAAATCTCTATAATGCCTAATGTCTAGCATAATAGAAGACAGCTGAGGGTTCATATTTGCTTCTGCATTTGCCCTGTTAGATATCACATAACATACAGCCTTCAGAAATTCCATTATTCACTTGTGAGACAATGAGAGTGAAAAAGACAACATCTTAGTATTATTATGAAAACAGTTTTGATCTTGTGGATCCCCTGAAAGAATTATGGGAACCCCCAGAGATTCAAAACCACATTTTAAGAATCACCAGCCCAAGTAAGTAAATCCAATTTTTAAAAATATTTTACCAGAAAATTTTCATAAGATTTTAACAGTGTCTCTGATTTTTGTTTGAACCTACTCTATGTGGCTCATTTCTAAAAATAAAAGTTCTAAAATTTCCAGATAGCATTTATATTTATGGAATCCCTTTTCTCTGATAGTCTGAATGAAATATAGTTCATTTTTTTTTTCCAAACACCAATTTTATTCAATCAGAATTGTGCCAGAAGAAAGGTATAAAGAAAAAGTTATTTTTATGGTGAAGGCAGGAACTCTTTCTCTCCATCTTTATCCTTTCCATAAGGTAGGATTTTCCTAACCTTTCCGGTCTTGTCTTCAGAGGAGCTGGGATAGGAAGGCCCACCTCTCCACAACCCCTTCCATTTTGGAGCCAGTCTGCACGTGGAGGAGTTTGCTCTCTACCTTTGCTCTTGGTGGTTCCTGACTCCACTTAGGCAGTCACTTGTCTACCTGTGACTGGGGGGATAAGTTGGCCTGATCCTGGGGTCCAGGATAGCTCTGCCTATTGTTGATGAACCTCAGGAACATGTCTTACAATATGGTCAATCAGTATCTAATGCCTATGTTCTATCTCTGTTGGTTCATAACTTGGACAGAAAAATGGTATGTTATTTACTGGACCCACTGAACTGTAATGGCTATGGTTAAGAGGAGAAACTCATAGGTAGTGAATTCCTAGAATCTTCTCTGTGGTGGCTGCATGGCTCTCTACCTCCTCCTTTAGTTTCCAAGCTATCTGTGGGGTTAAGACTGGCATGGAGACTAACTTACTGAGGAGAGTAGTATCAATGTGGAGAATAAAAGACTTTCTGTGTGACTCTGCCGTATACAGGCAGAGAAATTGGTATGGTACGTAACTTTTTCAATTTGTATTTTAATCATGAACTACTGAATGACATTTAAAATTTA